TAATCCTAAGCATGTGAGAGGTCAAAGTGGGCGGATTACCTGAGCTCACTGTTTCAAGACCAGCTGGAGCCAGAGTGAGACCTCGTCTCTTAAAAAAAAAAATAGCTGGGTGTCTCTAAAAAAAAAAATAGCTGGGTGTTGTGGCGGGCACCTGTAGTCTCTGCTAATTGGGAGGCGGAGGCAAAAAAATCGCTTAAGCCCAAGAGTTTGAGGTTGCTGTGAGCTGTGACACCACAGCAGTCTATGGAGAGCAACAAAGTGAGACTCTGTCTCAAAAAAAAAAAAAAAAAAAGCTGGGCTTATTGAACTTGCTATAGTAAGGAGGAACTGGTCAGGAGACGTTTCAGAAAGACACCGTGGGGAAGAGCTTGTTAGAGAGTTTGGGCTTCAGTTGATTGAGTCTACAAAGTGATTGTTAGTCATTTTTTGCAGTCAAAGTACCACCTTAAATATATCTGGTTAGAAACATTATTCTGTTGCCCTTTTCTATGTCCTGTAGAAAACAGTGTGTTTTTTTGTTTTTTTGAGACAGAGTCTCACTTTGTCACCCTCGGTAGAATGCTGTAGTGTCATAGCTCACAACAACCTCAAACTCTTGGGCTTAACCAATTCTCTTGCCTCAGCCTGCCAAGTAGTTGGGACTATAGGTGCCTGCCACAACGCCCAGCTATTTTTAGGGACGAGGTCTTGCTCTTGCTCAGGCTGGTCTCAAACTTGTGAGCTCAGGCAATCCACCCACTTCAGCTTCTCAGAGTGCTGGGATTACAGGCATGAGCCACGGTGCCCAGTCTTTGGTGTTTTTTGTTTGTTTGTTTGTTTGTTTGTTTGAGGGGCCTGTTAGAGACAGGGTCTTGTTCTCTTGCCCAGAGAAGAATACAGTGGCATAATCACAGCTCACTGCAACCTCAAACTCCTGGGCGCCAGCAAACTTTCTGTCTTAGCCAAGAGTAAAGGTGGGTGCCACCACACCTGGCTAAGTTCTGTTTCATTTTTGGTAAGGATATGGTCTCACTATGTTATGCAGGGTGGTCTCAAAATCTAAGCGTCAAGAGATCCTTCTGCCTTGACTTCCCAAAGTGCTGGCATTTATACTCAAGAGCCACTGTGTCCAGCTGAAAACATTGTTTTGTTTTGTTTTGTTTTTTTTAAGAGACCTAGCCTCATTTTATCACCCTGGGTAGAGTGTTGTGGTGTCACAGCTCACAGCAACCTCTAACTCCTGAGCTTAGGTGATTCTCTTACCTTGGTCTCCTGAGTAGCTGGGACTACAGGCACCCACCACAATGCTCAGCTATTTTTTTGTTGCAGTTTGACTGGGGCTGGGTTCAAACCCCCCACCCTCGGTATATGGGGCCGGTGCCCTACCCACTGAGCCACAGGCACCGCCCCTGAAAACATTGTTTATCATGGTCTGACAGCTGGCAGAGTTTCTCAAGTCCTGTTTAGAGTTAAGGGGCCCATATGGAGAAAGTAATTTGCCTGACTAAAGAGCCATAAAAAAGGCTCAGTAGGCTTATACTTCTAAAGGAACACTCCATGAAAAAATTCCACAAAAGCAGAGGGACACGGGGACATTGACTCGTGTGGAGATAGAAGGGTGCTGAGCATCTGTGGAAACATCTAAGGTGAGCCTTAGCTGGAGGATCAGAAACTGTTTCCTGCACTTCCACTGATGTCCTACCCCAGGAGGAGATTTAGAGATGTTTGAGGGCCTAGGGACATGGAAAGAGAACAGCAAAATAATACCGAGAATAAGATACCGTGGACTTCCTCTTCCTGTTGTGGTTGGCTTTGAGCTACAACACCTTGAAGAATCTGGCTCTGAGTTACAAGCGGTTTTGCTCTTAGGCTACCAAAATTGGAGACAATACACTGTTTAGTATGAACTTCCCTTTGTTCTGAAAAAGCAACAGGGTTGGACAGATTTAGTTTTGTACCCACAAGGCAAAACATTCTCTAAAATGAAAAAGGTTGAGAGAAAAACAAACAACAACAACAAGAAAAGAGAAACAAAGGTTGAGGGAGCATGGGTCTAAGAATCTAAAATGTTCAATGGAGGGTGGAAAGTTTCCACCTAACAGGTGCAAGGTAGGGTACATAGAACACTACCTGGGCGAAGGACTCCCTATAACTTGGATTTTACCTTACAAAGGCTAAGCTCGGTGCCTGTAGCACAGTGGTTATAGCTACAGCCACATACACTGAGGCTGGCCAGTTTAAACCGGCCTGGGCCAGCTAAACAATGACAACTGCAACCAAAAAATCGCCGGGCATTGTGGCGGGTGCCTGTAGTCCCAGCTACTTGGGAA